ATCCATCTGATTTATACTCTGGTATATCATATTTCACAACATTTGGGAATAACACACCAAGTATAACCCTTACACAATAGAAATCACAAAGAAAATACACAAGTACTAGGAATATTATTGAGCCTGATACTAGCAGGATGAATAAGGGTCCAAAAGGTCAGATTAGTAACATTTCTGGATGACATCAAAAGGTAATGAAGCCAACACATTTTTTAAGAACGGGGGCTTGAGTTTTAAAAGAAAAGTCGGAGCAAGTCAATGTGTCAGAGAAAAGACTGCAGGAAATAGGGAAGCCAATCCCTTCCCATTCAAAACTGCATAAACTGATAATTAAGAATTGGCTGGAATCCATTTTAATATTAAAGTCTTGAAAGTAAGACTACCGTTTGGTAGAAATGGTAGCAATTAAAACTTCATCACTAAAAAATCACATTAAATCGAATTAAAAGGAGTTAAATCAGAGCAACCATTTACTTTATTTCCCTGAAAGTTATCCTTTCTTTCTTTTTTTTTTTTTTTTTTAAGATTTTATGTACTTATTTGAGAGATAGAGAGAGATAGCCTGCCAGGAGGGAGCCCAATGCGAGACTCGATCCCAGGACCCTGAGATCATGACCTGAGCCAAAGGTAGATACTTAACCAACTGAGCCACCCAGGCACCCCCCTGAAAGTTTTCCTTAAATACGTCCTCTACAATATGCCCTATATACAGATTGCATATGCCCTGAAAGTGTGTGTGTGTGTGTGTGTGTGTATTCAACTATTGCTAACCTTCCAAAGATATTGTCTTTGTATTTTCTTAAAAATACCACATTTTATCATTTTAAAGTACCACTGCTCTGTCAATAGGTTAAAAAATCACTAATGAAACTAATTTGCTGTGTTTGGGACATTGTTAAGGAGCAAAGGAATCATAAGCAAAACTACTCTCACAATGAGATTGTAAGAAGAAACTTTCTCCAAGGATGATGGTCTCCCCTGGTTGGGACACTATAGATCATCTTCTCTCTCTGGAGTAAGAAAACACAGGGAATGAGGCATCATGGGCCTAGCCCACTCATACAAAGGACGATGGAGATTATATTACAGCAAGAACTCCTTCTAAATACATAAGCCATGTGCTTCTCTCCCTAAGAAGGTTCTGCTTGGGATGAGTGGACTAACCAGTCTGGAGAACGGAAACCATGTTGAACACTGAAATTGATGGTTTAAAATGTACTTAAATTTTAATGATGATATCCTAATCTGTGAAGAGAGCAGAGAGATACAATATTCATTTGTATCCTTTCATTGTAAAATGTTCCACAACTTGGGCGCCTGGGTGGCTCAGATGGTTAAGCATCTGCCTTTGGCTCAGGTCATGATCCCAGGGTCCTGGGATCGAGTCCCGCATTGGGCTCCCTGCTCCTTGGGAGCCTGCTTCTCCCTCTCCCTCTCCCTCTCTCTCTCCCTCTGTCTCTCATGAATAAATAAATAAAAAAATCTTTAAAAATAAAAAATGTTCCACAACTGATCCACAAAAATGTATTAGATGTTTATTTTCTTAAGAAAAACATCCATATCTGTTTTTTTGCCCACAATTGACACAGAAGGGCAATTTTTCCTCCCTAAACACCCTAAGACAATTGTGCACTCATTGATCATCCTAGAACAGATCATTCAAGTCCTATTTCTGACGGCCGAGTTAAAGACACACCAACTCACAATGCAGGCATTATAGTGCGGTTTCCTTATGATATAGCAAGACAGGATTTCTTTTTTATTACATGCCCTTATGATTTCTTCTTGCTGATGTTAATAGTAAATGCTAAAATATTCTATGTAAGCATTTGTCGGGCTGGAAAAAGAAAGAAACTCTAATGCAAGTATTTATACCTTCCGCAATGAAAACAAGATACCATTGCTTTGCATGACCTTTCCTAAGTATGGGATACAGCATTTTACACAATAGTTTCTTGGTTCATGCTTCAATTACTGACCTTTACTGTGCAGAAAATTAATGCAATTTTCATTGTAATCCATCCGTACAAATAAGGTCCACATAGAAGAATTCCACATTTGGAATCTAATACAAATAGGAAATGTCATCTGATTGCTGTTGGCTGAACTTAGCCATTATCTGTTTGTTCAGGGGTCCCCAGCAAACTACACTTGTAACAAGCAATTTCTTGCATGGGCCATCACGAATAAGAAAGAAAGATTTCCTCTCTTCAAAGTTTAGTTTGTACAGTTAGTTTCCTAAAAGCCAAAAAAGTAGTTACCTGAAGGCTCTATGTTTTAACTGGAAGTCTGGACACACATACACACACACAGGCACACAATTGTGCAATCTAATTTGGCTTCTCATACCGGTCACCACCATGGACTTCTGACAATGAAAACAAGCAAGAGGCTACAGTGATATCATTTTACAACAATCCTCCTTCCAGACAATAAAAGTATGACAGACCCCAGACCACGTCCAGGTCTGTGCATCAGAGACTTGCAGAATATACGGAATGCGTCTATCTCTCGAGGAAGCCGTGCCAGGGGGGGCCCCTGATGTGCTTTCAACTTTCACAGTCTCTTGTGATGGTATTTGGTGGGAAGGGGTGCTGGCAATTAAGGAATGTCACTTTCAAGATGGATAGTTTGGATAGAAAGGAGTTTCCTCTCTTCTTCTGGTTTGGAAGGAAACGGCTGTGTGTTTATAATTTGTAAACAGCCCATCGCTCACTGGGTGTGTTACAGTTCCCAGAGGCATGGTCTGTCATGTCTAACATGCACCAGAAGCCAGGACGGTTCTGTATGTAAGCCCTTCGGTATAGCACAAGATGGAGGGCGGTGGCCCAGTGGCTGTGTGTGCAGGTCTGTGACGAGCACATCTCAGTCGTGGAGTCTGCTCTACGTGGAGAAGAAATGACGGCCTGTAATATATATTGGGATGATGTGGGCTCCAGAAGTCTTGAAGTTGAAAATCCCTCTATACTTTACAAATCCCTCAGAGATGTGAGATTGAAAAGATATGAATAAGGACTACAAAGTTCGCCAGTCTCCCTAACAGTAGAAGGGTTGCATTAAGCAGAAAGAGGTATAAATAGAAGTCAAAATTTCGTTTTAGATTTATTCCTCTGGATGATTTCATAGACCTATAAAATTGAGGAAGCAAACATGGCCATGCTGTGGCTGTTAAAGGCCCTATGAAAATACTACAACCGAAGTATCTCAAGGATGGAATTGCCCTGAGGGCAACGAGGAATGTCCTGATGCCCATGCTCTGTGTGTAGCAGGTTTGGCACGCCTGGCATGGGGAGGGCAATGCTTGGATAAACACGAGAGCTCCAAAGCTCTTCCATGGGGATGTAATGGCTCCAACTCAGTCATCCTTGCCCAGGAAGGCTTGAAGCCCAACTGGCTCTACTTCCAGACCCCCAGACCACCCTTGAGGCACCTCAGTAGAAGGCTGGCTTGTGACAATCACTGGTCTAGACTCCACGGCCTGAATTTCTTGTTCGCCAGGTCACACCACCTTTTCATTCATTTCCTTCTTGTTGGATGCTCTCCTTCATCAGGTGGGCCAAAGACACATGGTCATAATGATCTCTAAAGGGCAGATGATGCCCTCTTCTACAGAGGGTTCATTTTAACAGACATAGCCAAACAGAAGAAAATCTTCCTCACTTCCAAGGCTTGGTACAAAAATTTAGAATTCTGCCTGGTCAAAGTTTAAAATAACTTGATCAGGGGCGCCTGGGGGGCTCAGTTGGTTAAGCGACTGCCTTCGGCTCAGGTCATGATCCTGGAGTCCCGGGATCGAGTCCCGCATCGGGCTCCCTGCTCGGCAGGGAGTCTGCTTCTCCCTCTGACCCTCTTCCCTCTCGTGCTTTCTATCTCTCATTCTCTCTCTCAAATAAATAAATAAAATCTTTAAACAAAAAATAACTTGATCAATACTTATGCTTCTTTTGGTAAAACATCCCATCATCATGCAGGTTAGCTTGGCTATGACTGTTTTTCATGCTCAAGGAGTTACATTACTCAGAAGCAACACACATCGATTCATCAAGAAGGAAGCTGCATCTGTGTGACCTTATTCTGCAAAGAGTCGATTCCATTTTTTAAAAAAAATATTATGCTGTATTTTATTATTTTGCTATTAATGATCATTTTAGCACAACAAATAGATTCACTTTGTAATCCACCCAATTTGCTTCAAATGGGCAAAACCATCTGGCTCACCCAATTAATTTTAGGGCTGTGTGTGTCATGGAGCCAGTATTTTTTTTTAATACGTTGCTATTTTCTGGAATACTACTACTACCAATATTTTATATTGGATACTTAACTCTTAAGAGCCCCCCTTTCACCTGTTTCCCCTCCTGCAAGCCTCCTAGACACAACCAGCACAAACCCCATACACCCACAGGTTCTAGGAGGCTGGAAGTCCATTAAGCTGGTGGCATCTCATTTGGCATTTCCATTTTTTTTTTTTCATTTTATTCCAGAAGGTTTGTCTGAAAGCGTAATGACAACAAAAGCAGCAGATTTGAGAGATTCTCCCAGGAGAAGAAAAAGGACAGATGTACACAGACATATAGCTGAAAACATTGCCAGCAACAGCTGGGAAACTGACAGGCTCTGAAGTGGGTGACCACCCCACAGAGCGCAAAGGAACAGCAATTTTACTTGATTTACTTTTGACTTCCTAGACTACCTTTTATCTACCTTTTATACACCAAGGGGCAGGCTCTTGCGATCTTCCCTCACATCAAATGACAGGCCTCCTCTAGGTACGGTTTTTACAATATTTCAGTAATTCCTTCTATTTTACCCCCTTTTATCCTCACTGAATAAGATGTTTAAAAAGTGATATCCTTTATAAATTACACAAACATTACTATGCCGGACACTCCATAGTACTAAAAACAAAACAAAACAAAAACGGTTTGACTCAAGCAGAAAAGCGCTATCTGCTCACAATATTAACACCCCCTTTCATGAGCTTCCCTGAGCACACTCACCTTGTCATCTTCATCCTCCCCCTCCTCTAAGTCGGTGCTCTCCTGAAAGGAAAAACCACCGTTTGTTAATATACCATCCCCTGAAATTACTAAATGCAAATTAAACCCATATACACTTTTTACATTTTTTCTACATAATTGAAGCACTAGTGGTTTTTAAACACATTATAACTTCTTAAAAAATAATGCTTTTAAAGTTCAGAGACACTGTGGCAAGACTATAAGAAATATGCATAATCTACATAAAACTTCACTATAAATAAAGCTATTAGGCGAGTGCCCTTTGAAGGCATCCAGCTTTAAAAATGCATTGCCAGGCTTTACTTTCTGTAAACAGTTTGTTCTTATTCTGACAAATGAGCCAACGGCTATGTTAAGGCTGAGAACACCATACTCGGTTTGTGCTAGGCTCATTGTTATAATGACTGCTCTTTTCCTTTGGGGCCATTACTGAAACATTAGACAGTAGGAAATGCATTAGTCTGAATACAATCAATCTCAAGAATAAGTTACAGGTTTCTGTACATTATTATCGTTTTTCTTGGGATTCGGGGAGGCAGTTGGGGGCAGGTAAGAGAAGCCAACTCAGGCTCTGATAGCCACCAATAGGCACCTGCCTTTAGTTTGGGGACCAAAGCACCACCAGGTGCTGTGAATAGGCTTGTTCAGTTGGTTTAGAAATCCTGACTTTTTACCAGATAACTTTTAATTGTATCACTGCAATAATTAAAAGCCAACACGGTCCGGTGGGGGGAGGTCCGTAGCTCAGACAGAATGCTGAATATTAGAAAACCAGAGTCTGTTTACAGCCTGAATGCTTACCTCTCTGCTCAACCACCTTGCAAAGGTCAGGCATGCTGTTTAGATGCCATCTTTCCAGTAGTAAACAGAATTGTCAATATCATGTTCTTAAAGAAAGAGTAACTCTGAAGTATCCAGAGAGTCCTCTGCTATACTCCATAAAACCACTGAGCAGTTACCAAGCAATTTCTCCAAGACTGGTACTCCATTACCTCCCAGAATTCCCATGAGTTGCAGCTAGCACTCTGTGGGACATTCCACGGATGCTGGAGAACTCACCTATTCACCGTTGGCAGCACACATGAAAGCAAATGGGTAAAAACACATAATAAAAACACGTTATGGGAGGAAGAATATTGTAATTAGGAGTTAGAAGCCCAGCTTGGGACACTGTTCAAGCACATCCTGCTGTGTGACCTTGGGCAAATCACCTTGCTACTCTGGGCCTTACTTTCCTCAAGCATAAAATAGAAATGGTAATTCTTGCCTCCTTCATGGTTGTGTTATCAAGATTAAAATAGGTAATGAATTTGAAAGTGTACTATAAATTAAAAAGATTTTATACACACATTTATAAGCACATTCACTTAAGTACTCTTTTTATTTTTTTTAATTTTATTATGTTTGATGTTAGTCACCATGCAATACATCATTAGTTTTTGATGTAGTGATCCATGATTCGTTGTTTGCGTGTAACACCCAGTGCTCCATGCAGTACGTGCCCTCTTTAATACCCATCACCGGGCTAACCCAACCTCCCATCCCCCTCCCCTCTAGAACCCTCAGTTTGTTTCTCAGAGCCCACAGTCTCTCATGGTTCGTCTCCCCCTCCAATTCCCCCCGCTTCATTTTACCCTTCCTTCTCCTAACGTCCTCCATGGTATTAAGTATTCTTATGTACGCATATATACATGTATATATACCTGCCTACAAATGCATACATACCATGTATATAGCAAGAAAACTAAAATCTGACTGAAAATTGTAAAAATGTGAGTTGACAGCATTTTTTACTAAAGATGTTTCTCTGTGAAAATTTCCCTCATCCATATCTGTGTGTAACTTAGTCCTTAAACAATCCTGTACTTTAAAGCTATTTACTTATTAGTTGGTTCTAGCATTGTTAGGTCCCTCATTATTGATATATGTCCATGCCTACTCCATTAAACAATCAAATATCAAACAGAATAAAATTTTGAATTTGCTTGAGGTTTTTACTCCCTGCCAAAAGACTCATTTTCTCTACTTCCCTTCTACCCCCAAACGATACCAGAACATCCCTTTAATATCCATTATTTCAGAGATTTAAAAAAAAAATAATAGCATTGTATGGAAAAATGGGTGAAGATCATTGGCTTTTGAGTCTTGAGAAACCCAATGTGAAGGTCCTCTAATATCAAGTCTCAGAACCTTAGATTTCTGTTCTAAAAATTTGTTTCTTGAATCTGGAGGTCGAAGATAATGCCATAAAGCAAGTCTACAAATACAAGTTCTTGTTCACCCAGACCAGGAAAAGATCCTCTGGGCTGGGATGAGTAGAATAGGAGAAGCTGAGTCAGACAGTAAGTATGATAAGTAGATGCTAGGGGATGTCTTGCTTTTGCTTCCTTCAACACCACGGGAAGCTTGAGATTTTCAGGACTTGGGCACCCAAAAATTGAGCTGTCCATGCCCACCCACTCTCTGATTTCCCTGGGAGTTGGCAAGCCTCTGAAGGCTTTAGGTGAGAAGTGAACACTGCACAGGATGTCTGGGTGGAGAGGCCTAAGGCAGCCTCCCAGATGCTTTCCATGCCCTGAAGGAGCTCAAGGAGATGCCAAAGGCTTTTTTCAGTGGTTGAGAATGTTATACATAGGAACCTTACAGATAACCAGATGGGCACCGAAATATGCTGCCACCATGATAAAGATGACCAAGCACCATAGGGCTCTCCTCATGCTAAGAATGTAGGCCAAGGCTCAGGGACATAACATAGAAGGATGACTCCGGGTTATAACCCAATAAAAAATCCCCACTATCACATAAATGTATGTGCAATGTTGCTCTCCTCAAGTCTCAAATCAAGTGGACTTGGGTCATGATTTGGTGGTGGTTGGTTGTTGTTAACACATTTTTTTTTCCTCTGGTCAAATGTCACAATTACTGGAATCTTAGCTCACCTGGCTGTCCTGGATGCTGCCAACCTTCCCTTTTGTGGATGTGATGAAATTGTAGATGAAGAGTAGCAACAATGCCAGGGGGATCATGTACAGTTCAAAATTCCAGACAGTGACTAAAAATACCTGAGTGGAAGACAAGACAAAATCGTTGCTTGAAAAATCAGTATGGGAGTAATCTTAAAATCCTTCGTATTCACTTAAGGAAATTAAATCTAGGACACTCTACAGCAGCTTTTAGGAACAGTTGCAGACAGGTTCACACACACACACACACACACACACACACACACACACACACACACGATTAACAGTTTTAGAATCGGCAGTAGAATGAGGAAGATACAGAAACGAGTAGACCAGTCACATACCTGAAAATCCCATTACCCCATCAACTGTATTCATTTTTTTGCCCTGAGATTTACCAGAATTTAGGAAAGTAGTATGGAAAAAATCCAAGGTCTCAGAGTCAGGCCACAGACCAAATTTTGCCAATAGTAAGGTTTACTGGAACTGTAGAGAGTGATTACTTTTCAAATTGGCTGCCAATGTTTAAAAATCCAAATAGTTCAGATAAAAACTTCAGATAGCCAAAGTCTCTTTAAAAATCTTAAAATTTTCCAGTTTTGAGGCTGGATGGTCACAGGGAAATGATGGAATGCCTATATAAGACAAGGTATTTGCTTTACCTGCCCAATTGCTGTCAGCCTCTGGATTTGTGACCCTGTCCTACAGAAGGACAAGCAAGAGCTTGGGTTTGAATCCAAGTATCTATGTGACAACAGTCATGGGAGACATAAATAAGACATGGCCCTACCTCCAAGGAATAAGCGAATTAGGACAAATAAGAAAACAACCCATGATAATTACAACATGAGGCAAGAGTGAAATCATGGGGAAATGATTTCAAAACTTGAGCCTCACTGTCTTTTCCAATTCACAGGTGGTCCAGAGGATGAAAAAAAGATGATTTGTGGTTATTGGCTGTTAGTGCTTGTAAGTGCTTGAAAAAGTCACTTGTTTACATCAACCTAGAAGAGGCAACTTATTGCATCTTAAATACTGAATCTTCCTTTCTCAAAGCAATATTGTTTTACTTATTACTAAAAACATTTTATACCATGCTAAAGTTTTACTTTTGTAGATATATGTATTTCCTGCTTTTTTGTTTGCTATTCTAAATTTAATCATTTCTCCCATTATATATTTCAAGCAGATAAATAAAATCTAATAATTTGTACATATTAATTTTTTTAATTTGTACCTTTACTGAATTTTCTTACTACTTCCTATAGCCTTTCATTTCACTTTTGGGGGGTTTCTAAGAATATAGTCATACAATTTACAAATAAAGAACTGCTCCTATTTCCTCTCGTCTAGTACCTATAACTTAATTTCTAATATGTATACTTATTTTCATTACTACTAACTAAACAATTTTAAATAAAAATGTTGAGAGGGATATTGTCTAACTCCTGAATTTTACAAAAATGCTTCTATTGTTTTACAATTAAGCATGACGTTGACTTTTAGTTTGAGCTATATAAATCATTTTGTATTAAGAATAGGGCGCCTGGGTGGCTCAGTTGGTTAAGCGACTGCCTTCGGCTCAGGTCATGATCCTGGAGTCCCGGGATCAAGTCCCGCATCGGGCTCCCTGCTCAGCAGGGAGTCTGCTTCTCCCTCTGACCCTCTTACCTCTCGTGCTATCTCTCATTCTCTCTCTAATAAATAAAATCTTTAAAAAAAAAAAAAAAGAATATGCAAATAAACCTTTTTAAGAAAACTAGAAAGTTTACATATAAGCATTCATTTTATTATTCTTAATATTTTAAAAATATTTATGAATCCTCTTTATGAAAATATTTGAAAAATATTTTTATCAATTTTAACAAGGATTTATTTTTTAAGCTTTTATTTATTTTGACAGAGAAAGAGACTGTGAGAGAGGGAACACAAGTAGGGACAGTGGGAGAGGGAGAAGCAGGCTTCCCGCTGAGCAGTGAGCCTGACATGGGTCTCGATCCCAGGACCCTAGGATCATGACCTGAGCCAAAGGCAGACGCTTAACGACTGAGCCACCCAGGTGCCCTAGGATTTATTTAATTCTTATTATTTCTTTAAAATCAAGAATGGAGGAGGGTGAATGATTAACTAATTGTTCTTTCACTATCTTCTGAAATAGGGAGGGTTTTTTCCTTCTCATTTTAGAACCTCAACATGGTATATCGTATTTATAATTTCCTAATATTGAAGTGAATTTGTATTTCTGGAAGAAACGTCCCCTTTAGTGGGCTGTAATGGTCTTATAATGTACTTTGTATTTTATTTGCTAACACGTGAAAATGTTTTGCATAGATACCCATGTGCTATTGTTTCCTTTTTATATTATTTTCAGGTTCTGGTATCAGGATTGTTTTGGTACACTCCATTCTTTCTTTCTCTATACTGAGGATAATATTTTCACGTCATATATTCCAAGAATGAAAAAAATAAACATAGACTAATTTAACAAATACCCATGCACCTGCATGCATTAAGACTTGCCAATGTGTGCTGGGTGATAGACATCGGGGAGGGTATGTGCTATGATGAGCACTGTGAATTGTACAAGACCGATGAATCACGGATCTGTACTTCTGAAACAAATAATGCAATATATGTTAAGAAAAAAAAAAAGAAGAAGAAGAAGATAGCAGGAGGGGAAGAATGAAGGGGAGTAAGTCGGAGGGGGAGACGAACCATTAGAGACGATGGACTCTGAAAAACAAACTGAGGGTTCTAGAGGGGAGGGGGGTGGGGGGATAGGTTAGCCTGGTGATGGATATTAAAGAGGGCACATTCTGCGTGGAGCACTGGGTGTTATGCACAAACAATGAATCATGGAACACTGCATCAAAAACTAATGATGTAATGTATGGTGGTTAACATAACAATAAAAAAATTAAAAAAAAAAAGACTTGCCAATGTGTGGTCAGTTTTCTTTCCAATTTATGTATTAGTCTTTTTAAAAAATAAAACACTTCAGATAATTGGTTCCCACTGTCAACCTTTCAGCGACTACCCTCAACCTACTCCTCCCATTCCCAGAGGCCACCATATCTGAAAATGGATGTGAATCCTTGCATCTGAGGACATCTAAGATTTATTTTAGAAACAACATAAACAGCATCAAAATGTTCCCATAATTCTGTAATTTTTTTATTCAATATATGTTCCATAGATCTGTTGATGGTGTAGGTATAAATCAGGTATATTCATTTTTAGGGGCACCTGGGTGGCTCAGTCAGTTAAGCATCTGCCTTCGGCTCAGATCATGATCCTAGGGTCCTGGTATCAAGCCCCGCATTAGGCTCCCTGCTAAGTGGGGAGCCCGCTTCTCCCTCTCCCTCTTCCCCCACTCATGCTAATAAATAAATAAATCTTTTTAAAGAAGTATATTCATTTTAACTGATATATGGTACCACATTCAAATGAATGTTCGGTAATTTATCCATTATACTCTCATCATTGAAAACTTAAGACGAAATCATGGTTTTACTTTTTAATGTAGTCAAACATACTCATCTTCAACCTTAGAGTTTGTTCTCTTAATGTTCAATGTTCCACTTAAGGAATCACATTCTACTCTGAGATGATAAAGTTATTTCATCATGTTTTCTCCCAAAAGATAACTATATATGTGTGTGTTCCTTATTTTTTGTCTCAGGTGTTCTTTTGGTTTACAGTTGGAAACAAGCATCCAATTTGAACTTTTCCCCTATAGATAGTCAACTTTTGCAACTAGATTGTGGTACCAATCCCTATTTTTGTTCACTGTTTCCATTACCACTTCTGCTACATACCAAATTCCCACATAGGTGTGTTTGTTGTTTATGGGCACTCTAATCCTGTCCATTGATACATATTTCTATTTTACCAAGACCACATCTTTAACTGTAGTATAATAACCAGATGACCTCTGAATGAGCAAGTCTGTATTATTTCACCTTCAAAATTATCTTGGATAGTTCTTTGCTCTTTACCCTTCTGCATGTATTTTAGAAACAATTTGTAATGTTCCATAAAATTCTTGGTGAAATTTTCACTGGGATAGCCTTGAATGTATATATCAATTTAGAGAGAACTGACATCTTGATATTGGCTTTCCAAATCATAAAGATTATTTATTTCTCCATATATTCAGGACCTTTCTATATCTCAAAATATTTTATTACTTTCATCATACTGATTTTACATTTTTTTTATTATTTTTCTGTGTAACAAGAGTTTTGATACTATTATGAATGAGGGCATTTTAAATTTATATACTTTAATTGGTTACTTCTGGGCATGGATTTTTATATGTTGTTTTCATTATTTGTGACCCCTCTTATTAACTGTAGGAGATTTCAAATCTATTTTTCTGGTGATCTGATGTGGAAAATCATATAAACTGCAAATCATGACAATGCTTTTTTTTTGCCTTCCAATCCAGGTGTTACTTACATGTTCTTTTGGTGCTAAATCTCTACACTTTTTTTTTATAAGTACAGAATTTTTAAAATGCTTTTTGAATCAATGCATGTTATTATGTTGTTGATTTCCTCCAGGCTATTAATCTGGTGTGCTTTATCAGCTTTATTTACTGTTTTATAATTTATGTTTTCCTATACTTTTCTTTTTAAAGGTTTCTTTTACTTTTATGTCTTGTTTTGCTTTGATATGAACAGAGAAAAGCAGAGAAAATAGTACAGTCATTTCTCTACTAGATAAAGCTAGATATTTTCCTAATTGTTACCTATTTGTCTTTCCTCATTTTTAAAGTTCTTTTAGGACTGTGTTCTAAATGGTTACTATTCCTAATGTCTATCTACCAGATAAGTGAAATTTTATTTTTTTTATATTGCTAAATATAACTTCAAGTGAAAAGAGGCTGATATGAAACTATTGGGAAAAATTAGGAAATGGAATGTTTTTAATTTATTTTCATCATAAAGCTATTTATAAAATGTCCTTAACAGAATTACTTGTACATCAATTAATATTAGAAGTCTGTTGTGTTAAACACATTCTTTGCCATAACATTTGCCTCTATCAAGCATAGTTAATACCAGAAAGTGTTTTATAACAAAAATTGAGCAGCA